GCCTCTATTCCCTATTCCCTATTCCTCCCCTTCCTCCCCTTCCTATACTTCTTCCTAATTTCCTTGCTTCTAGTTTCTTGCTTCCTATTTCCTATTCCCTGTTCCTCTTCCTCCCCTTCTTCCTCTTCTCATACTTCATGCCTACTCTCCTACTCTCCTACTTTCTGCGTTTCTGCCTTCTTCTCTATTCCCTATTCCCTATTCCCTAATTTCCTTGCTTCTAGTTTCTTATTTCCTATTTCCTATTTCCTATTCCCCATTCCCCATTCCCCATTCCCATTTCCCCCATTTCCTTCTTTCCTTCTTTCCTTCTTTCCTTCTTTCCTTCTTTCCTTCTTTCCTTCTTTCCTTCTTTCCTTCTTTCCTTCTTTCCTTCTTTCCTTCTTTCCTTCTTTCCTTCTTTCCTTCTTTCCTTCTTTCCTTCTTTCCTTTTTTCCTTTTTTCCTTTTTCTTCTCTTTTCTTTTTTCTTTTCTTTTTTTTTTTTCGACCTTTTTTTATTTAGAGTTTACGGTCCCATGGTTCAAATCGACGGGATGGCTGGTACATCCGTAATCCGTAGAGGATTTTGCATCAAGGTATAGTAATAATGCGACACATTCTATCTCATATGGCCCTGGCTGGCTATCCTGCTTCGATTGTGTTACAGTCACAGCTAGTAGCTAAGTAGTCTAGGTCAGATCCCGGAAGACGACTACAGCTACAGCTACAGCTACAGCTACAGCTTCAGCCCGTAGTTCTGAAGTACACTATCATATCGCCACTACAGTATGATGATACCCATCACAACTGAGAACATATCTCCCATCTTCATAATATTCGACAGCTCATCCATTCATTAATAAGTATGACTATGAATACCTCAATACTCCTCCCCCTTCTCTCTGATACAGCATATCAATTCAAAGTCCCCGAAAACCTCCCATAACTTTCATCATCCCCAAGCATAGAAGGCAACGACGACGAAGACGTCCTAGTTATCTCATGATACTGATGGTGATGATGCTGTCCGAACGAATACTGAGTCGACATGCCAATTCCGCCGTCTGTCATGGTGTAGCTTTCCTGTCTTGTATATTCTGGATCTCCATGGTGATGATGCTTAGTAGGTACAGTGGAGTAGATTGTATCGTCGACACCGTCCTCGTCGCTAGTATCAGGGCTCTGGTCGACGACAGGGAAAGGTTGGTGCCGGTGGGGGTGGTGCTGGGGCTTCGTATGCGCCTTGGCCGTGTCCGGCGAAGTGGAGTTTCCATGCTATGAGGGGGAGTTGTTAATAAAGTATCATGGAATTTGGCGCTCGTAGGTGTGTACTTACTAGTCGGATCCCGAGTCATCCACGACCAACTATCATTCAAGTAGACCCGTCTTCCATCGACGATGATACTTTTCAGCATTCCCATGTCGCCTGGTGCTGGTCTGAGGTATTTCAACCCCGCTAGGACGCGGAGCATGGAGACAGCGAATGTCAATCCGATTTCCTTGCCGAGGCACTCGTGAGCGCCGTATCCGAAGTGGATGTATGCGTTTGAGGGTCGGTCGAGCTTGAATGTTTCCGCGTCGGGGATGCTGGTTGGGTCGCGGCAGGCTGGGCCCTGGATGGGGTTAGTTAAACATTCAAGGTGGAGAAGGAGATGTGAGGTGGGCTACTTACGAGGAGAGTGATGACTACGTCGCCTGGCTTGAATTCCTGATCATTGATGGTGCGATGGGCTTTGCAGACGCGAACGGTGCATTCCATGCTGGTTAGACGTTGCGCTTCGAGCACGTATTGTCGGAGAAGCTTGTCGATGGAGCCACTGTTGTCCGGTTGGGAAACGAGATTCTGGATCCTTTTCCAGTGGTCGATGTTTTCCGGTCGGAGGTAATATTGTAGGACGTCGGCGATCTAGTTGATGGGGATTATGTTAGAAGAGCATGTGTCGCTGTGTCGGGGATTAGAAGAAATACGAACCAGTCCAACAGGTGCTCCAACACCCCCAACTGCTGTAAGCCAGCAAACTTCCGCTGTTCCAGCCGCAGTCATGTCCATCTCCATCATTTGCTTGACTACGTTGTTTCCATACCAACGCAGGGTACTGACTTCCGACTGCTGATAGCCAGTCAACTTTCCAAGCATGCGGGTTTTCTGCGGCTGGGCTTGTTCGTTGACGACCTTGAGAGTAGTCTTGACAAGGGCCTCGGCGCTTTCAGAGGCCCATTTTCTGCGTTGCAACATCAATCCTGGGTCGGTGTTGTTAAAGCCCCAAGTGCGGACATTCATGAGGTGTTTGTACACCGTTGCTGCGTTCATGCTGCCGGATTCATTTTCCGGGGTCTTCATGTCCAGGCAGAAGAGGTCCGCCATTATTCTTGCATTGAGGGGGATAGCAACGCTAGATTGTGTCAGTAAGCCTCCAGTTGTGATGACTTCCTATGAGTGTCAGGAGATAGATCAACTCACTCTCGAATGATATCGACTTGATTCAGATCCTTGGACAGCTGCAGGGCGTTCAGTTCTAGAAGCTCTTTGCCTAGCCTAACAGTCGTCTGCGAAAGCAATTGGTTGAACTGATCCGGACTAAACAGAATGGACTTGACGAGCTTCTTTTGCGCTGCATTAACCGGACCGTCTCCTCCTAACATATAGTCATTGAACCTCTTGCCCGGTATCATATCATTGAGATATCGGGCCCATGGGACGCGGAATGTGTCCTGGTCTTTCAATACCTCAATGATGGTGGCATGATTGGCGAGCATGACCGTACGGGGTGGCGGTTTTGGATCCTCTTGACTGTATCTATCTATTGTTCCAATCTCTTTCGCAATTTGTTCGTTCATTTTACGGGTGAACATTGGCTGGGTTGCGTGGAGCGAGTTGTAAGGGAACCATCCAGGCAGTGCGCGTTGGATCAATTTGTGGAACATTGAGCCTCCCAAGCTATGATGTATCAGACTAAGCCAATGGTTATGGATCAAATTGCTTCCGCGGATACTCACATATCGTAGTCTTGTTGAACTTCCCGAATGCCCCAATTAGTGAGGTTAGACGCAGTGTAATCCTAGCTTCCTGTTAGCTCGTCCACTCGAAAGCGGCAGATTAGAAGAAGAGATTTAACTGACCAGAGTCAAAAATCGGTCTGATCGAACGAGAGTGACTGCATCGCTAAAGACCGCTCGCCCAACAGTGTAGGGAGGGCATCCACCGCAACCCGGATCCATGGCAGGTTTGGCATCCTCCAAGAAGATCCCGGGATACATCTCGACCATGTCCGGATGGTCGTACAGCTTCCTTAGGAGATCGGCAATGTTAGGATCAGGGTTAATGTCCTCAAATGATGAATGCCGTTTTAGTTTGAAGAAGTCGCGCATCTCATTCAAGGACGCGAGATTCCACTTGCGAGCAGTGAGGATGCCAGCAATCTCGACCATGCGGAGTGCCTTGGGAACCATCCTAGCTCCAAACAGTCCGGCTGGGTCTTCCATGCTGTCCTTCAGGATCTGTACTAGTTCGGCATCATTGAACCTCCCATCCTGGTTGCGTTTCAGCCCACCAAATTCCCGCTTACTGGGGTCTTTATCGATGCTTCGTTCGTAATTTATCAAACCTTGCATTAACTCTTGTGGTGTAAGTTGCTCCAGTGGTTTCTTGAGGTCAGGAAACAGACTTTTCAGGAACTCGTTTGTCCATTGTTCATCCCGCCGGGAAATAACAGAGTGGAAGCGATATAGGAGGTTGAACTCTGCAGAGACCTGGTTTCCCACGCCTCGGGGAACCCCATCAGCGTCGAAAGCTCGACTCACGGCCACACGAGGGTCCAGTGTCCAGTCACTCGCCGAGTGATGAGTGTTGGTCAGTCCACGAAGGTAATCGTGCAGTGAGATGTTTACGTAGAGCCCATTCACAATACTATCCCAGTATTAGCTGAGTTGTTCCCAATCATACAACAGTCATGGACAAATGTAAGAGATTAACTTACAGGCGAGTCACCTGGAATAAGTCTTCATCTTGCTTAGCTAGTGCCTTCCGCTTTGCGTCCTCTGATGTTGTTGGCGGTAGAGTGAAGCGCCCGTTCTCATTTATCTTCAGCAGGACATCGGCCACGTAGTTGTGGAAACGATTGTACATGACAAGAATAACGTTGACACCAGGGGGCTGACCCAACAGCCTCTTCTCGTGAAAAGTGTCGGGCTTGAGCATCCCGCGTTGCATAGTGCGGACCCTCAGCTGGTCTTCATAGCTGGAACCATACAGAGGAGCGAGATCCAGATATGACGAGGTATCTGAAATGTTTGGGTCGCGCCGGTTCGTACAAAAGACATCTGGATGGTCTTAGTGCCAAATTTCTTGATAGAAATGTCGGCTATGTATAGTGGACTCACCGTGAATGATGATGCTTGCATGATAGAATAGAACCGACGAGATGCCTGCAGGGTTTTCCCGGAAAGTCGTGTCGTCACGGGCCATGAGGACTGAATTATGACTGTCAGGAATGTACTGTTTAAGCTCGAGACTCAGACTCACGGTCAAAAAGAAGGCCAGGATCAGGCTGCACTCCGTGCAGGGCCTTGAGCCGGGGCACCGATCTCGCATACGGACTGCCTGCTTTGCCAAGGTCAGGCTCTAAAGGGTTCTATAAGATTAGAGTCAAATACGTCAGTGATGTCTTCGTCCTTTTCTAGACAACAGGATGGGAGATTAGAATCTCACGTTGTAGCTCCCATCTGGAGTGCGATACTGATACTTATTCCCAAAGTACGACAGCGGAGGGTGCTCTAGGCTCTGCCAGAGCTGGTCGATCAGGATGCCGGTCAACCTCTGTCGGGACTTGGAGGTTCGCGGTAACATCGAAACGATGGCGATGACTTTTTCCATCTGCAGCGATCAATCCTTCATTAGCAATGGATCTCTACAACGGAATACTGAATTATGTGCCGAAGCCAAACTCACCAGCATTTGGCGATCATCGATCGGCTTTCCTTTAGCCTTCACTAATTGGATCAAAGTACGAAGATCGTTTCTTTTGCCCTTGAGTCCCAGAGCCGAGAGGTCTTTGACAAGGCCTGTGGCAAGAACATCGGGATCTCCATATGGCTCCCCAGCCTGATATTTCACGTCATCTTCTACTTCTGCTAACTCTTGTGCATGGAACGTCCTCGCATATAGTCGTTGCCAAAGTCCCTCTCCCGTTCCGGCAATGCTGGATAGAGCCGCTCTTGTGGCCTTTGGAAGGAAACGAGGCCTTAGCTTCCATGCCGGGTGTTGATGGGAAGAGAAAAACTTGGCAAGTATTTGAAAAGGTCGTGTCAGGTCATCTGCAAAGACCCGCAGGTAGAGATAAGATAGAAGGCAAAGGAGAAGAGCAGCGAAAATGGAGCCCATAATTCAAGAAGGTTAAATTGGGCGAGATACAACTTCAGTCGTTCGTTGTTTTGAAAAGAGCAGTCTATCGCGACATTTCTGCAACCACTATGAGATGTGTGTCGAAATACTTATACTCGAGGCCGATCTTTTCGAGCTCAGTGTACCATGACGACCAGACCACCAATGCCAGCTGGAAGAAATCTCCTCGATCCCGGCGCGTGGGTTAGCAGAGATCCCCGAAGACCCTAACGGGGAACACCGAGCAGACAAACACCTATCAATTGTGCGTGCACAGCCCAGCTGAAAGCACGAGTTCCGGTCTGGCCCTGCGCCCAGAGCTGTCATTGCGACATTCTGCAGACCTCGCCAGCCACACGTCGCCTGATTGGCAGCAGAGACGGCACATATGCAGAGGGAAAGGTAGATACCCCTCAGGTGGTCGTGCTTGTGGAGGAAATTCAGCCAGCCACTATGCAAGAGAGTGACAACGAGAGGGGTCCCATCAAACATTGTGGTTTTCAGCTGGATAGATCAGCATAGTGACAAGCCAATCATTGGTATGAAGAAGGGGTCGGACCCCGGCGGGACACAGACCTCATGCAGCGGCTCGATCATCATGAAAGCTGACCCAATGATAGATGCTGGAATGCAATCTCGGCAGTTTTTACCTCACGAACACCCCCACTAGCGGTTCGTGCTGAAGTTCTCCCCGCGGCCCGTCATGATCGGCGCCGGGCATCATGATTGAAAGGTCCCCGAAGGTGCTGCTGTTTGGACGATTGCGTATACCTTTGATAAAAGCTGGGTATTTGGCATGCCCCGTACTGTGTGATTGATGTTTTCTTATCTCTAGAATTCATCCATCTTCTCGGCTGTTTTTTCTCCCATTTCGTAGTTACTTTGTTCTTCATTGCACCTGGCCAGGATCTCCCCGAGCCATGCCACGCTCAACAGTGGATCAGACATCCAGCGCGGAAGCGCCCTATTCTGGTCCCCGAAAGCTGGTACTCTGCCTCGATGGCACTGGCAATCAATTTATGGGATTTGAGCGCGACTCGAATATCGTCAAAATATACCAGATGCTCGAAAAGAACACTCCCGGCCAGTTCCATTATTATCAGCGTAAGTTGCCCACTAGGTAGTATGGTGATTAAGGTTAGCGGAAAGCGTATTTTCAGCACTGAGCTCACACATTAGCCAGCCGGGATTGGGACCTACGTCGAAGGTCAATCGTCCAGCTCCGGATTGCTTCGGTATCCGCGAAAACTGCAGTCGAATATCATAACCACCATCGATCAGGGGGTGGGAACCACTTTCGAAAGCCATGTCCTCGCAGCATATCGTTTTATCATGCGGTATTACTCCCCCGGTGATCATATCTATATCTTTGGGTTCTCGCGGGGAGCATACACTGCGCGATTTTTAGCAGAGATGATCCACGAACTTGGTCTTCTCTCACAGGGTAACGAGGAGATGATCCACTTTGCCTGGGAAACATTCAGCAATTTCCAACAAGCGCGAGGCAAGACCGATCGCACTGCGAAGGATGAGGCATTGATCTCATACATGAAGAAATTCAATACTACCTTCTGCCGCCCGCAAGTGCAGATCCATTTCCTCGGATTATTTGACTGCGTGAACAGCGTCGGCCAATTCGAGATTCCCTTCCACCGAAAGTCGCATCAGTACCTAGTCAGTCCGGCCGCACGGCACATCAGACATGCCGTATCGATCCATGAGCGTAGACTCAAGTTCAAGCCTGCCCTGGTGCTGCTTGACAAGACCAAGCCAGTGGATCTGAAGGAGGTCTGGTTTGCAGGAAACCATGGTGATGTGGGAGGGGGCTGGAGTCTCGCACCTGGACAATTCCACCTTTTGTCTGATACACCTTTGAACTGGATGCTGCAGGAGGTTCTCCATCTGGAAAACTCAGAAAGCAAGTTATCCTTCCACACACTCAATGTCGCAGACGTAGTGGAAAGGGAGAATGCGTTTCCTGGGAAAGAGGAACCTGGGACCACAGCATATGATGTGCGGAAACGCACGAACCAGCCACACGATATGCTCATGTTCAACCGGGGAGCGACTTTTCTGATGGTAATCTTCTGGTGGATTCTTGGTATGCATGCCTCTCTGCCGTGCAGTTATCTCTCTGCGATAACCCAAGACATACTAACCTGTATAGAAATCCTCCCCCTCTTCACACGCCTCGAACTAGAACACGGCAAATGGGTTCCTCGCCAATGGCCACCCAACATGGGCGCGCCTCGCGATATCCCCGAGGACGCCGTTATCCATCAGAGTGTGCATGAAATGGTCCGGGCGGGCATTCTGGATCCGAAATCGATTCCACCGCGCGGGGGGAACAACTCGCACCTGCCCTCCACTGCGCGAATCACTGGCGCGTGGAAAGCGATGAGAAAGAACCAGGAGAAACAAATCTCCTCGCTGTTGCAGAAGAAGCCTGCAGGCGCACTGAGGAAGGAATTCGATGGGAAGGCTGATTGAGCAGTTTTTAGTTGTCAGGTGGGGGGCGCTGGAGAGGTGCCCCAATCTCAGGCGATCGATATTTGTTGGAGGGCCGTTTTGGAATAACTAAGGAATGCTGGTGCGGTAGACCTAGAGCGGCTGCTCGCTACGGTATTCACATTGAAGTCAAGTAAATAGTTAAGGGTATGAAAAACAAGATAAAGAGAATCCCATAAAGCGCGAGTTATATAACCGCACCGTTGTCATCCTTAGCAACAACTTATATCAAAAAGACTCTTTGAAGACAGACAGACAGTAGTACTACCGAGTAAACTGCCCTGATTCAGTCACTGAGTAGCCAATCTCGACGCGGGAGTGGGAGGGATGGCTCGGCCCGTCGGTCACCATGAAACTGGCCAATCACGCACTAGAGATACATGACGACAACAGCTAAAACGAGATAATAACTTCTCGAATTATTCTAGAGGCCAAGTGGGTATCTAATGGGTATTTTTCCATTCTGTGTGCTCTGCAGAATTGGGGTGCGGCACCTTACAGTATCTACAAACTATTTTGTTACGTACAAGGGGCAAAGTTAGTTGAGTGGTTGGGGAAAGATAATCGGGAAGGAGAAGGAAGGTTAGGCCGGGGTAATGAGTGGCTTTCATAGTTAGTACTTAGTAAGTACTACTGTAGAACGGGCAATAAAATGAATGGCCAAATTCTGTTCCTTCTGTCGAGCCATACTCTGACCGAGGGTTATTTACCAGGAGTAACCCAATGGGAGCCGCGAAATTTACATGTGTGGTACCGTCTATCAGGGCCTGATGAGCTCAATGACAGTTTCCTAATTCCAGGATGATTTTTTTTTTCTTTTTTCTCTATGTGTCAGCTCTGCCCATGCTATCTATACAAGGTGGAATGTCTGGAACTGAGGGTTCTGGTCTATCCATCGTTTTAAATAACCCCGTGCCAGTCCAGCACGCCGACTAATGCCATTTTCCGTCTCAACAAGCATAAGGTCGATCGCATGGGGATCATGCGGATTTTGACCCAATGGAACTCCTGCAGAATCATACCAGAAGTCTTCAGTTCTTGGTTTCAAGTGCTCTGTCTCGGAGTCCCAAGGTTCTGAGAGTGAGATAGCAAGCAGACTGAAACAAGATTCGGGATTATGTTGGCGAACATGGTTGATTCGCTCGATGTTGATGGAGCCATCGATGACGAGGGCAAGAAAATCGCCAACTTCAATAGCAAGTATGTCTTTTTGGAGCGACATATCCTTCTTCAGGCTTAGTTGTAATGGGTTGAGATTAAGTGATTGAGTGTAGACAAAGATGGATCCTGGAGGACATCCTTGACGCATATTCGAAGGAAATCGCGCTTCTATATCTTGTTCAGACATGCTACCCTGTGACATTCCATGAGCCTCATCGCAGAGATGCCCAAGGGTTCTCCATTTCCTAGCAAAAACCTTGTATTCGCCCCACGTAAATGGAGTGTTGAGTATGCCCGGTAGAGATCCCGAGAAACATCCACATCTCCAGGCCATCACAACGCCAAGTCGTGTACGTAAGTCCCTGAAATTACAAGGAGCATACAACTCATGTGCAGTATGTGTTACTTCCTTCTCGTTCATGTTGTTGGGCGACTTCACATCATCTAGTTTGTTGGGCTTCTCTGGTTTCCCCAGGGTATTTGCGATTATCTGAAGTTCTAGTCGCTGTCTCGCCCTACGAGGGATCGCCCAAATTGCTAGAGAAGCCCGCATTTCTGCAAATATGCCACCTTCCCTGGCTGATGGTTCGACTGTTATGCGACCTTTGATGGAAGACCACGACCAGGAAGGAAATGCATCACCAGGAGCTGCATGCCTCGTGGAATACGGATTCTTTTTCACCGTCCTCCAGAGAATTGCATCACTGAAGATATTCAGGGGTATGCCATAATAATTCTCGGGTCCCCATCCTGTGTGTAGAACGCCTGCGAATGCGCGAAGTACATCACACTCCCAAGTTAGTTTCCTTTTCGTGAACCGGCTCACCACCTTGGCGTAACTCAATAGCGCAGCCCCTGCGGTTTCAGCAGTATTGGGGTAGTCACCAGTTAACTCATCTTTTATGTTTTTGTGGTTGGAACATTCATAGAAAACTCTTGTGTCGGAGAATAGAAGCCGTCGTGATGAGAGCGTCGCCTCTTGGAATGTCCAACCCTAGTAGACCATCTCGATTTCCGTAAACACTCTGTATAAGCGGGGGTTTTCTCAATCAGGTATATCCCCTGTGTTGTTCCAGTCCAGGATGCCGGTCGCTTCACCAAGTTTACCCCCGGAAGGCCGTGCTGAGCATTTTTTCCAGCCAGAGCGATGATTGTTACATATGCTTGTGCGTATATGTCACCCATAGAGTTGAGCCAATGGGCTTTTCTGCTAGGATCGTCGTCCTGCAATATGCAAAGGCGATCAACCCAAAGATAGCCTATCCCCATTTTCATACAAGCAACAATGGCGTCATCGATAGTCTGTGGTAGAGAACGGCTGTCTAAAGAGCCTTTCCTCATCAGGTCTTTTATGTTCATCGTCGTTGCCTGCAAGTCGCTGCTCGTGGCCCCCCACACATAGCTCAGAGCCGCATATCGACATGCTGCAGGGGCAATGGTAATGCACCGTTGTCTGGTGTCAATAACACGAAGCCCAGTTATTTGCGATGTATCAGGCTTTGCCTGGAGGGAACCCTCGCGCTTGACAGAGTTGTGGCAATCACTCACCCACATGTTAACCTTCTGCCAGTCGACCGTCTGTTGGGGTATAGGTGTAGAAACGAGGTGATGGCCATGAGTAGGCTCAATTGTCCCGAGAAAGATCTTGCTACCTGCATATTGCTGGTCATTACCCACTGCCCTGTAGCAAAAGCCTCTTACTAGTTGAGGAAATACGCACCCTTAATCCACCAATTGCGTTCCGTCCAAAAATACCATCTAGGAGGGATCCATTTTTCTTGGGGGACGTGCACGTGCAACCACATTCCAATACTGCATTTGACATCTCCAACTGTCTTTCCATCTATAAGTAGATTTCTTCCCACTCTTATGAAGCAATCTGAACCAGGTGGCAGATTTCTTTGTTCCATCACCTCTTTAGCTGGCCCTGAAAACATACGGCAGGTTTCGCAGCTATGGGAACGTTCTTCTAAGCCTTGGACGCTTCCCAAATTCAGATAGATATCTTCTAGTGTGGTTTGAAATTGTTCAAAGGAATCTAGCGCATGCGCGTCAGCATGAGAGGCTAAAAGTAAACACTGTATCAGGTGCCTGAGCCTCATATGTTTGCATCTCGCGCAGAGTTGATCCTCAGGTGTAGTGTTGCACTGATGACAAGGTTCGTGGAAATAGGCTCTCTGGATCCTTGGTCTATTCAACACGCCACCCTTGAGATATTGGATTTTATGGCATCTTGAAGAACCTCTTGCCGCGGTCCCAACGCGGAGGTCTTCCAGGCAGTCACATAGAGGGCATATGTTTTCAGTACAGTTACCATTAATTGATGGGGAATACAGCACATTAGCGGGCAACCGCAAGATAGCAGGTAGATCTTCATTCATTTCGTAAAATTCTCACATAGACCGAAAGGAGCAAAATATCTTATAAGCGCGTTTTATGTTGTAGTTGAAGCATCAAGGCCGCTGTTGGGAGAGGGAAGAGGATCCGAGGAATTATAACGCGTCATGTGTTAGCCAGGTGGGGAAATCACGGCAGATGCATGGATGCCCAATTTAGCCTGATCGACATTAACCGCATGTCTGCGATAGTTAATTCTTAGGGCCTTATCACACAAAGTCGAGCCAAAGGAAGCCTACATAATATCTCACTCACTCACACCAAATCCCATGATAAGCTTTTTCTCGAAACATGCAGTCTTGAATTTCATAGCCGCTGTTGTATACTAGAACGAGAAGTCGGCGCTTGACCGCAGTGCGTGTCTGGAGCCTTGCTAGCAGCTTAGGCGCCTTCTGGTTGCGGTTTACCTTTCTATGCCTAGTATGTGGCACCTGTTTCGTATTAGCGTCGGCCTATGCCATCTCTCGATTAATTTTCTTTCCTCTATTTTATATGATGTGGGATACGGAGGATGGTGGAATGAAATCCCCTGCCAGATTGCTTACTCCCATACTAAAGATCATTTGGCAGACACCACTTGCGGCGAATATTTCAAACCAGCCGTCTTTGTTTTCTCTCTTTATTTTCATTCTTTTCTTGTTCTTTTCAAGTATCAGACTTAAGTATTATGCATTTCATATCCAAGTTTTCTAACGTCAAATATACAGTTTTCTGCATGTAACTTAGAACTCAGTACTAATATAGCATTCCTTCACAAAAACAGCCTCACAACATACATTCCAGCAT